TCAAATGATAAAGGAGGTTCTGTTCCAACTTTAGGCTGACGGTTTTGAAAATGTATAACTAGCACTGGACTGGGTAATCCCTCATCTGGATTGACTAGAAAATTGAGTTCCTCCTCTTTCAGATCCAAGAATTTATCATTGACCTGCAATTTGTTTCAGGATAAAAATACCTTAATCACTATTCTAGAAATAAATTATTTAACAACACTGTAAATGACTGACATGTTTAGTGGTTAACCTCTTAAAGGCTACATCTATCTGTGAGGAGTTCAAGCTAACAGTTGTAAGCCATCTCAACATTCTGGCTCTGGCCTCAGCATCGACAAGAGTTACCACAGATGTATGCTCAAAAAACTAGAGCTGCCTAAAAGATACTAAATATTCAACATAAAAGATAATTAATAAACAGTAACGATATTCAACTTATACAATATATTAACCGTTAGCAAATAAAGAAAACCATTTATGTATCTAATAGGCCGGTTTTACAATAATTTGATGGCCACTGCATTAATTTGCTCTATAAGGAAATCACAGAGCACGACTGACCAATTAAATGAGGCAAAAGTCTGTATATTCTCCCCAAAGTTGTTAAGTCCTTCGGTTACACTAAAATTACTGGATGGAAAAAATAGATTTGATAACAAAAATTTTACAAACAATTTAACAAAAAGGGTAGAAGACCCCTCTCTTGCGAAGTCCAATAGATTATTCTTCATCTGTTGGGCATTCACGCCACAAAATGGATGTTTACTCCACTTTGACACCGTACCTCTAGTTGGCATGTCAATTAACAGGGCAACTTCATCGGGCAACAGTATTAACTCTTTCCTTCCAAAACCATTTTATCATGCTGCCAACATTGCAAAATTTGCAGTGTCAAGACATTCTCTTGAGGATAAGGAGGGAGCTCCAAGAACTGCTCGACATTCATTACTTTAAGCTCATTTCTCGTGTCCTCAGATATTGAATGCTTGAACTTATCCATCACATCTCTCACTACAGATGACCGACTTCTACAACTCATTGATCTTGGGTTCACAAACCTACAAAAATAATACAATGCAACAAATATCAGGTGTTATTTCAATGGCATTTCAATGTCATTATTAAGGTGTTATTCGGATGTGGTTGTATTATTATGATATTATTACGGTATTATTATGGTTATATTTTTGGTGGTATTATTCACGCAGTACTACAATATTATTACGGTTATATTACAATATTATTAAGGATATATTTCGATAGTATTATTTTTGTACTATTATGGTATTATTACAAAATTATTACGGTTATATTTCAGTTATATTATGATATTAACTGTTTAACTAGTATTATGGAATTATTATGGTTTTATTTGTTTTTATTATTCAGTATTAATCAGGTTTTGTATAGGAGAACTGCATTTTAATTAAAAGAACTGCATTTTATTTAAAAGAACTACATTTTATCACCGTAATAATAACTATTACCTGGAGGAAGCATAGTTTTATTATGTTTTAGGTAGTATTACAGTATTAACTGCATTTTACCACGATATTATTTAGAAGAAAAAATTCATTTTAATTGGGTTATGTTCTCGTATTATCACGTAAGGTTGATAATCTTTTCAAAGAAAAAACGACCAAGAACATAAAATATTACCTGGAGGAACCCTCTTCAATAACATTCTTCTTACGGTCATTGGCTTTTTTCTTCTTCTATTCATCGGACTCCATTCTCGATGGCTCATCTTCGGTTTCCATTCTCAACGGCTTTTCGGCTTCCACTATCATAGGGTTTTCTTGGGTTTCCATCTCAGAAGGCTCGACTTTCATCTTGATAAGCTGAACTCTAGTAGTTAACTGGCGAATGTACTTCGACTGACGAACGGAGACTCGAAATCCTAAACAGATGGCGAATGACAAAAGAGGTGGTGAGCCTGTCGGTTTTCCTCCGGAGTATTTTTTGATGGCCGTTTCGTATTTTGTTTCCGTTCAATTTATTCATAGCGCTCGGACGGGAGTAAAGCCAGGTCCCACGTGATAAAAGCATTTTTTAATTTCAAGGAACACTCGAATGTTACTGTAATACAACCATACTAATACTCGACTTAATAAAAACATAATAACAAAATAACGAAACCACGATAACACCGCAGTACACTACAAAAATATCTTGGTTGCAAAATAAGCTAATAACATCAATGTCACCATAATAACACTCGAATAATACCATGATACAACCATACTAATACATCATTGTGATGTTAATAAACAAAAATGTTAATAACACTCAAATCACTCCACAATAAAATAATAATACTACATAATGAAACATAGAACAATAATACTTAAATAATTCACTAATAATACCACAATATTACAAGCAGTCGAATAAACATAACGAAACATACAACAATAACCATCATTTAATACATCTATGATAGTTGAATAAACATCATTAATATTAAGCAAAGGGGAGGTCGGTCCGTTGGTTTGTAGAGTCAACTCCAACTCTGTTGGTTAAATTTGTAGGCAATGAGATCAGAGTTATTTAATGACTCATTGAGGGCTTGGTTAGAATTATTGAAGAAGCTGAAAAATTGCAACATATTTAATATTCATTTTGGTGGAAGGGAGAGTTCCTTGATTGCTTGGAGACAATGAGATTGAGTTATTTAGTGATTCAGATAATCTTGAAAGATAAGCAGTAAAAAAATCATTCACATCAATGATCAAAGGTTGATTAAGAGAAAGTTTCAGGCTGTTCGCACACCTAAAGTTGATGGAGTTATATAATCTGATGCCAATGCCGAAGATGTGATTTGTATTGGGTAATTCAGTGGGTAATTCAGGGTAATGGGGGTAATTCAGGGTAATGGGTTTGCTAAATTATGGAAACAAAATAAAATATTATTGTAAGTTATGATATTATAGACTTTTTAAGTCTCATGTGACTGGGATTCCAACTGGTTCACCTGACGGAACACCATTCACGTGAGACTTAAAAAGTCCAGAACATCATAACTTACAATTACATTTTATTATGTTTCCATAATTTAGCAAACCCATTACGACTTACCCGATACAAATCACATCTTCGCCATTGACACCCAATTTTATAACTACCTCAACTTTAGATGAGCGAACAGTCTGAAACTTCCTATTAATCAACATTTGATCATTGATGTGAATGATTTTTCGACTGCTTATCTTTCGAGATTAGTTAAATCACCAAATAACTCCATCTCATTTCTTCTGAGCAATCAAGGAGCTCTCCCTTCCACTAAAATGAATATTACATATATTGCAATTTTCAGCTTCTTCATGATTCTAACCAAGCCCTCAATGAGTCATTAAATAACTCTATCTCATTGCCCTCAAATTTGTATCAAATGGTTCAAAAAACAGTACTTGGCTTGTTCACCCTTGTTACTTCTTTCCTGCATGCAATGATTTAAGTTATAGAAATGCAATGTTCTAAAGAGAAATAAATTTTCAAAATACAAACACTATAGTAGAACAAAGTGTGTCTACTAAAAGAACAATGACAACAACACTATAATCACACAACAATAAAACCACAAAAACACAACAATAAACGAAACACAACAATAAATCTGTCTTCAACAATACAATGACACAACAATAAAACTATAATAATACCAAAATAGCCCCACAATAACACCAACATCCCTCATTAACAAAAATAACACGAGAATACTGTCAAGATAATATTGTGGTAACACTTAACACCATTACTCCGGCCAAAATGCCAGCATGACATAAACAGTTACAACGACAACAACTTCGAATAAACTGAAAACCACAAAAGTAACACTCCGATAAACCTAGAGAATCAACTAGTTAAACACAAGTAATGAGACAAATGCCAGAAGTATCCCTCCGATAAACAACTAAAGTAACTATTAAATCAACTAATTAAACATCCGATAAACCCAAATAAATGGCGCAGACAAATGCGAGAAATATCCACTAAATCAAAAAATAAAACTCGCACAAACCCTAGAACCTAAACCGCAACAATGTCTTTAAACAACAATGTCTTTAAGATAA